TGTGTGTGTGTGTGTGTGTGTGTGTGTGCACACGTCTGTCCGGGTATTTAAATTCGACAACCAAGCAGACTTCGATTTTGAGATCTTGCCAATGGATTTCCTGACCAAGTGCTACCCCATGAACACGGTGTCAACGTTTACGCATGTTTGAGCCTTGCGTACAAATATGTGGAAGTTTTGGTGGGAGAATGCTAACTTATAAATTAGAAAGGCTGGAAAGCTGAAATTTTTCTTTGCCCTATCCATGTACAACTTAAAGATTCCAAATCTAGTTCTTAGATAGTTGTCGCGTACGGGTATCCGAAAGTTTAAAAGGAAATTGCTGAAAACTCAGAGAACAGAAAAACTGGAGGGGTGTCTTCTGTCCGCGTACAAATTCAAGGTTTTAGTTCAGCTCCAAAGTAGGTGTGGTTCTCACGAACAGGCGCATGAAAGTTTGCGGGGAAATTAGACAACAAAGTAAGATAGGAAGCTGAATTTTCAGTAACGCAAATTAGAAATGAGAAAATGCCAAGCACTTTCAGTCTATTTCCTCAACTCGATATGAAGGAGAAAGGGCATGCAGGAGAAAGGGCGTCGATTGGGGGTGAGGATGGTGCGTTATAGAGCCGCATAGACCTCCGCGAACATGATTGCAAGTTTTTTGCGTGAAGCCCAGTTGTTTCGGCAAATGCTCACATCTTGAAAAAGTGAAAGATGCAAATATTTTGAAAAAATACGAATTTCTAGTTCACCAAAAAGTGAAAATGTTGTTCGGGCGGTCGATGATCAGAAAATCCAAGCATGCAAATGGACTGAATGTTCATTTACACATTTGCGCGAGGGCAGTCGTTCACTGCAAAACGCACTCGTTTCTGATTTTTTGGTAATGTTGAGTATTGCTCATGTTCACCTGGAGTGAACTTCACTTCTAAGCAGAATTAAAGCTGCACTTGAAAGTAGAATATCCCAGCGAGCTTATTCGGTAAACGAAATATCCACTTCGTTAAAAATGTTTTTGGAGTGTCCTAAATCGTGGCGCAAGTGCGAATCGCTACTCATTCTATACATACGGTTTCTTGGATGGGCGAAAAACATGCTGACAAAATTTCAACAACTGTTTCCCAACAAGTTTTCGAGTTAGTGCAGTACCAAGGTTGCAGCTTTGACGTGATCGTGCGCGCTTCACAAGCGTGCGCTACACCTGAATTTGAAATCTTTAGCTCGCACATGCACAGAGAATATCACTGCAAAGTTTCAGCTTTGTGTCTTCCCTGGTTTGCGAAATCGTTTCCGGTCAAAGGAATTTGCATATTTTTCGGGGACCCATGCGCGGGGCGCAGGCGAATGTGGCGGAATATCTTGAAACGGGAGGGTGACACGTGGGGTAGGAACATATATCCAAAATTTCAGTCTCTGCCTTCCTTGTTGCTGAGATGAAAGTGGATGACAAAATGCACTCGGCTCCGCGCACGCACACACGCACATACACACACACACAGACGACTTCTCGGCAATATGCGCTTTTGTTGACTGTAGCAGATGCACAGCAAAAACGCATAAAAAGTGCTAACTCACAGTTTACCGGTTCATGTCCGTGAATGCCTTCGCTAACCCATTTGCCAGTCCATGGTCCAGCCCCAAAGTATACTGCAACACCGTACCACTGGCCATGCCCTGAAAATACCCGATCATAATTATGCCCTTCCCATCCTGTTAATTTTTGGACGCTAGCAGAATTCTTATGCATTTTTGCTGACAGGTCGTCCGTGTGTGTGAGTGTGTGTATGTGTGTGTGTGTGTGTGTGTGTGTGCCTGTTCTGACGCGAGTAAACTTTGTCATCCACTTTCATCTCAGCAAGCAGAAAAGCTGGGAGGCTGAAATTTCAGGTACATGTTCCTACCCCGTGTGTCACCCTCCTGTTTTAAAATCTTTCCCCATACGGTCTACACCCCGCGTACTGACCCTCAAAAAATATGCGCATTTTTTTGACGGGAAGCGATTTTGCGAATCAGGCAAGGTGCAAAGCTGGAATTTTGCAAAGATATTCTCTGTATATGTGCGAGCGAAAGCTTTTAAATTCAGCCGCCGGGCATGCTCGTGCAGCACGTACGACCACGTCAAAGTTTGCGACTTGGTACTATGCTAACTCGAAAACTTGCCGGCAAACAGTGGTTGAAATTTTGTTAGCATGCTTGTCTCCCACATAAAAAATAGCATACCTAAAATGAGTACAGACTTGCACTTGCGCCACGATTTCGGGCACTTCAAAGGTATTTGTGGCGAAGTGGATATTTCGCAAACCGGGTAAGCTGCGGGGCTCAAAATTCGCTGGAATATTCTACCTTCAAGTCTGGTCTTAATTCTGCCTGGAGGGGAAGTACCGTGCAGGTGGGCGAGAGAAATACTCAATTTTACCGAGAAATCAGAAACGAGTGCGTTTTGCAGCGAACGACCGCCCTCATCCAAATATGTAAATGAACATTCACTTCATTTGTATACTTGGGTTTTTATGCGTTTTTGCCTATATGCAAACTGGAACCCGGGCTGAAACGCACCAGGCTCTCCGGTGCGATCATGCATGTTTATGCGTTTTTGCTGTGCAGCGCTATAGC